ATCATCAAAAGACAAACCACAAACTGCTGAGACCCCAAAGCAGCAACCCTATCGATTACCTTCGAGAGCCAGCGATCTCATCACTTTGCTAGCCTGTGCCAAAGAAGTCCTAGGAGATCACGAATATACAAGTGATCACGAATAGGATCATCTACTGTGATCAATCTATAGTCTCCTATACCTACCCTCACGTACTGCACCTCAGGATATTATGCGGCTACTCTTACTCTCACTTAGTTTCATCTTTGCTCTCATAATTTTTCAAAGCGGCTTCCTTCTCAAGAGGAAAGAACTACATATGCGAAGTAAATGCAGTGATGCTAAATTACCTCATTCAGAATGCTGGATGCAACGACAGTTCAAGAAGGTATTTCACCTTTCCGTTGCACTCTTTTCGTAATCTTGCTATTTTAGGTTGTGGTCCTTCTCATCGATGCTCTCCGCTATGATTTTTTGATTCCATTAGAACATGATTCCCCAAAGTCCTTCTTTCGTGGGCATATGCCCGGCGTGAAAAAACTACTAGATCGTGGAGCACGTATAGGTTTATTCCTAGCTGATCCACCTACTACTACTCTGCAAAGAATTAAGGCAATTACCACAGGTGCGGTTGTCTTTCCTCCTGTTTCCTGTTTTTGTTTCTTTCCTTTGTTATTTGTTACTGTCCGCCTTATCTGTGGCGCATATTTTTCCTGCTAAAACACAACTCATCAGTTTTTATTGGGTTAAATGCACTCAAACCGCTTTTTGGCATATAGACTATCGACTTTCTTTTTTTGATTTTGAATAGTAAAAGCTACAAGAATTAGTTTTTGTTACATTGGAATCTGTTATCTCATGAGATAGGCAATAAGTATGTAAATAGAATTGCTACACCGCTTCATGTCGATCACAGCATAAAAGCGCCAGTCCTATGTTTCACCTCTAGTTTTATACTTATTTTTCATCTCTTCGCCTTTCTTAAACATTGTTGTACTTTCCATCATTTAGCATTGAGGGAACCTAAACGCTCAATTTATATTTTTGTTGTAGTAAAAAATAAAAAAAATACTTAGTATTCTCACCTTGGCTCAGTTTTTGCGGGAATCCCATATTTTCATAGTGTAATGACTCCTATTAAGTAAAATATTCATTAGATTTTCAGGAACACTCCCTACGTTCATCGATGCCGGTGATAATTTCGCTCCAAGCGCTCACATAAATGAGGA